CCGATGCAGGGCTCGATCCCAGGACCCCGAGATCATGACCTGAGCCAGAGGCAGAGGTTTAACCCACTGAGCCACTCAGACACTCAAGAATCTCTTTTTAAAAAAAGATTTTATTTAGGGGACACCTGGGTGACTCAGTGGGTTAAACCTCTGCCTTCGGCTCAGGTCATGATCTCAGGGTCTTGGGATGGAGCCCTGCATCGGGCTCTCTGCTCAGCAGGGAGCTTGCTTCCCCCTACCCCCGCCTGCTTCTATGCCTACTTGTGAGCTCTCTCTGTGTCGAATAAATAAAATCTTAAAAAAATTATTTATTAGAGAGTACATGTGAGGGGTGTGCATGACTGTGGGGGCAGGAGGGTAGGGGAGGGAGAAGCAGGCTCCCCACTGAGCTGGGAGCCTGACTAAAGGGGTGGTGGTGATATGCAGTAATAGTGAGACCCAAGCTTCAAGTGCCTAGATTTCCATCAGCCACCTGGGGTTCATCCGATGATCCTTGGTAAACCTCATAGAAATATCCCCAAGATCTGGGCCATTCATAGACTATAATCCTTGGCATTTTTGCTGTAGGCAGAAGTGCTGATACCAGTGTATCGTGGATGTCCGTTTTAACACAGAGAGTCACATTTTCATTTCCGTGCTTGCCTGTTTTACTGTAAAGTATTAAGCATATTTTACTTTAAATTCTTTGCTTGATACTTGGTCCTCTGCCCTTTCATTAGATTGAGAACTATTTGAGAGCTGAAACCTATCTTACTAATCATCCTAGCCATAATGCCTACACTTAATTTATGTTACTTCAGACATTTTCTATAGAAATGACTGTGCAAATTGCATTCTCTGATTTAAAAAAAAAAAAAAGTAATTCCCTAGAAGACTCTAAACCAGTGCTTCACATATTCTAATATGCAAAGAAATCACCTAGAGGTTAAAACATGGATTCTGATTCTGTAGGTCTGGGTTGGGGCTTAACATTCTGCCTTTCTGTCAAGCTCCCCGGTGATGGCCATGGTGCTGAAAACTGGACCACTTTGCCTAGGATGATTTTAGAGGGAATATTCCTGTGGCTGAGCTGCTAGGGTTCATGTTTAAACCAGAGTTGACCCACCCTTCCTGCTATCCAGAGGAGGAAGGCCAAGTGCCAACAAACTATGGAGGGGCACAAAAACAAATGCACACATTTGAAAGACGGCACTCAACTCCATTTCTGCCTTATAAGATTGAGCTTCTGACAAATGCTGTGATGTGTCTATGGTTACCGGGTTCATGACCCTGCTCAAAAGACCTGGAAAATACGGAGTGATTGCAAGGTTGTTACTGTACTTGGGCAGCCAGGTGGAAGGATGAGGCAGAATCTGATATTTGCTTTTGTTTGCAAAACAGGTGCCATGTGTCACTTGTCCCGTTTCCTTCTGTCTCTCACCTCTGTTGCCACACCCTGGCCTATGGATCATAACTGCTGGTGATGTCTCCTAATCGTGTTTGTCGGTTCAGAGATGATTGAGATTAGAAGTGTCTTAACATGTCAGAATAAATAAAGCTGCCTCCAGAAGTCTGATTGAATGTACTGGACTAGAAAGTTCTAGGGATTTTGTAGTGAAAATTCAGTAGTCTTCATAGCATCCCTGTATGTTTTGTAGTGTGGACGTGCTGAGATTTGCATTCTCCTTTGAATTGTGCTCTAATTCAGGGATTTCTCCAAACACAGTATTGATGATGCTACATAGATTTTTCTGATGCAGTTAAAACATTTGCCTGACCTTAAAATGTGGAGTTGTGCATTTGAAAAAAGATTTTTGAAATGCTAAACTTAAAAATCATGTAAAAAGCTACAGACTTTTAGGTGATGTTTAATTCTATTTTTAATCCACAGTTTTGGGCTGGAATTCGACCCTCTGTAGTCACATAATGAGGTCGGAGGCCATGGAAGTTGTATGCTCTATGCTGTCCCCTCTAGAGGCAAGGTTCTTGTTGACTATGTAAGGATTTGCCAGTTGAATGCATATGACTGACTCACAGGTCTTCCCTGCATGTTCCACCTCATGCTGGTTTCCTGTCCCACCGGTGCTGCTCCGCCCTGCTGTGGCACGCGGCTGAGGGACCGATGAGGTTTTGTAAGGTACCTGAGGGTAAACGGAAACCGCCTTCGGTGGCCAGGGGCAGCTGGCCGGGGCTTTGAGGGATCAACAGGGCTGACTTCTGTTTCCCAGGATCATCCTGTCCGATTGGGAAGTTCTGCTTTACAACTACTATTCTGACCTTCACGGAATTAGAATTCTTCATTGTCCTACATGTAGTCAGTAGTCCTTTTCAGTAGAAATGCTTAATTTTAAAGAGGTCTTCTAATGTAGAACTAAAAAAAAATAGTAGAAAAAATATATAGCATGATGCCTGATTTTCTGAAGTTCAGAAACAAGTGAAACTACCGATGTTGTCTGGGGATACATATACATGTGGTAAAACCAAGAAATCATGACCATTAAACAAAACTTTCCATTAGTAGTTCTGGGGGATAGGCAGTGGGATTGGATTAGGTAGCCCGCACAGAGTTTAAATAGCACTGGTAACATTTGAGTTCTTAAATTGGGTATTGGATAGAGTTTTATAATTAATGTTTTATAAACTACACATACTTTTTTACAGTATATTTTGTAATGAAGATAAATTAACAGGTAAAGAATATTTACAAAAGGTCTTGGCACAATCTTGTTCTTGTCCCTCCTCTATTATTTTAAAATAACAAAAATACGGCTTTACTAAGGAAAAGTCAGGGAGAGCATATCTGTAACACCAGTCCCCTTATACAATGACTGTTGTTTCATTTATTTTCTTCCAGTCTGAATGTTTATGTTCTTAGTTATGATAACGATGTCTGTCACTGTGTATCTTTATATTGCTTGGTGGACTGATGGTCATTATAGCCCTTAGTTTTAGTGGCTGAATAATATTCCCACCAGTGTGTATAGCATAATGTACTAACCATTCCTCTTGGGTGGAATAGTCAAGTTTTTTCAGCTTCTCTGCTATTAGAGAACATCTTCAAGTTTCTTGCATTCGTCCCACAAATAGGTTGTGTATGTGTAAGGCATTCTGCTATGTGGTAGAATTACAGTAAAAAGCAAAAAGCCATAGTCTCTGTCCTTGCAGAATTTAGAATCTAATGGCTAACAGTTCATCATATTTTGTATTTTAAGCACATTAATCCTCAGACTTACAAAAAAATTATTTTCAGAATAGTGGGTACACACGCAGTTGTAAGAAATAATACATAAAGTTCCCATGTATCCTTCACCAGGTTTCCCCATGATAACATCTCAATTCCACACAAAGGAAATTGACATTGATACGATCCATAAGCTTTATTCAGATTTCAGTAGTTTCAAGAGTATGGCGTGTTGTGTGTATGTGTATGGGCTTTCTTTCTTTTTTTTTTTTTTTTAAGATTTTATCCATTTATTTGACAGACAGAGATCTACAAGTAGGCAGAGAGGCAGGGAGAGAGAGAGAGGAGGAAGCAGGCTCCCTGCTGAGCAGAGAGCCCGACATGGGGCTCGATCCCAGGACCCTGGGATCATGACCCACGCTGAAGGCAGAGGCCTTAACCCACTGAGCCACCCAGGCACCCCTGTGTATGGGTTTTCTATGCAGTTTTATTACATGTGTAGTTCGGTGTGACCACAACCACAGTTGAGACAGAACAGTTCTGTCACCGGGACCCCTCATGCTTCTCTTGGAGCCATGGCCGCTTCTCCTCCACTCTCTCCCCCTCTTTGACCCTTGACAACCACAAATCTGTTCTCTTTATAATTTCATAGTGTAAAGGATGTTCTATAGCTGGCACAGTAGAACTCGTTTTTTTTCATGCAGCATAATTCTCTTGAGATCCCTCCAAGTTGCTGTGGGTATGTGTAGTTCTTTCCTTTATATTGTTGAGTAATGCTTCATTGTATGGAGAAAGGACATGGGTTATGGGGCAGAATATGTTTTGAGGTGGCACACTGACTTGTTTGGTTACTTGTGTGTTTATGATTTAGGTTAGATACTTTTAGTTTCTTTTGAAAGAATGGCCATGGTTGTCACTTTGCAAGGAAGGCATAAAGATCAGGAACCCCCAAGGGCTAAGCAGACGCTATGCTATGTAGTCATGGCTGACCTTGGTCCCAGTAATGATTGACCTGGACCTGTCCAGAGGCTTGGTCAGTGGTAGGAGAATGTACCAAGATGTTGTGTCTTTCTGGGCCTCTGTCGATGAGCCAACAGCTGGGGCTCTGGAAGACCATTCCATTAACCCAGTTTGCTCTCTTTTGCTTTTTACCACCCCCGCCCCTGCCCGCATAGCCTCTTAAAGTCCAAAATCCTTAACTGGGGATAAAGTCCATGTAGTCTGAGCCCTGTGTGATCTGGTCCCTTCCCACATCTCTGAGACCCACCCTTTCCCCTGCTGCAGTCCAGGCACACAGGCCAGCTTCCGGGTCTTTCCACAGCCTCACGTTCCTGCCCACCTCACATCTTCGGTACATGCTGTTTGTTCTGCCTGAAACACCATCTGGCCTTCTCCTCTTCTCCCCCTGTATTTGTCAGCCTCCTCATGGACGCCTTCCTGACACGTCACATGTTCTTGAGCCACTTCCACATGCCTTGTAGCACCCAGCACTTCACCTCTCTCCTCCTCCTCTGTGGTGATGCTTATTGATTTCTCATTTGCTGGTACCAGTGTATTCTCCCTCCTGTGCCCTGCCCCTCATGAAGATGATGGCCATTTCTCTGTTCCCTGTTGACTCTCCAGTGCTTGGTTCAGTGTCCGGCACATAGCAGCTGCTCAGTAAAATACCTGTTGAATTCATGAATTAACTCGGGAAAATGGCTTTGGTAGGTTTAACACAGAGTTTCTTATTTTAAAAATGGAATCCGTACCTATTTTTAAAGATCCAGCTATGTGTTCCTATAAAATTATTGGCCTGTCTCTGAAGTTTATGACAGTAATTCATTTCTTTTTCTTTCAGGTGGGGACCAGGGTTTACTGAACACATTTTTTAACAGCTGGGCAACAACAGATATCAGAAAACACCTGCCATTTATTTATAACCTAAGCAGCGTTTCTATATACTCCTACCTCCCAGCATTTAAAGCGTAAGTGCAAATGGTTTAACTGCTGTTGGGGTTGGTCAGGCAGGGGAGTGGGTTTGGGGGGGGGGGTCCCTCATGGTCATTCTGAGGGCAGTAGCAGGTGGGAATTTGGAGGGAAGTCTTTCTCAAATGAGAAACATGGCTATGGTGGGGAAAGGCCTTGATGTTACCAGTTACTTTGTTCGGAGTAACCCCGAGGGCACTTAACCACCCTACAGGAAAAGATTCCCGTTTGTTCTTGGGGTGCCACACCCTCTGTTCAATCGTTCCTCTGTCATGGTCATGAATCTGTAGCGGGCACAAACCCAGCTTCTGCGTCATAGTGGCTGCTAAGCCTCAGTTCCTATACCTCTAAAATGAGGACGTTAACAGCTTTCTCTGTGGTAACTGTGGAGATGAAGCAAGATGCTGGCCACAATGTGCGGTCCTGGTCCAGGGCAGGGCTGTGGAGCCAAGCTCCCTCGTTCACATTCTAGAGGAGCTTTTTCCTGGTTGGTGACTGGTTCCTGAACTTCTAGCTCAGGAGGAGTTAGACTTGTTACCGAACTTCTCTGCCTCAGTGTCCTCCAAAGCTAGTCATGATCGTTAAGGGAGGTAATCCTATGAGGTGGGTAGAAGAGGGCACTCAGTAAACAGTCACATGATTAGTCCTTTTAGTTGGCGATGTGGTCTAGCAGTAGGCATAATCTGTGAAGCCAGAAAGGCAGGGGGTGTTCTCACTCTGCCACTTACCTACTCAGTGGTTTAGCCCTGTGCCTCAGTTTATCCATATGCAAAATGACAAGGAAAATCAGACCTACCTCACAGAATTGTTGTGAGGACAGTGCGAGTTCAGATAGGCATAAAGATCTCGGTGGACATCTTGGTTTTGGCAGTATTGTTTGTGTCCCCCCACCCCAACTCCCGTGCCAGTGTGGTTCTAATTCAGCAGTTAATACAGCCTAGTTGCAGGGCTGGTCTCACTGAACAGGGCCCGGGCTGACTCATTTCTGTTGCATGAAGATGATGATTCAGGTTTCTTGAGTGGCAGCCAAGCTGTCAGGTTGATCCTGAGACACAGCCGTGAGCAGCAAAACTGGGCTCGGCTCTGCAGTCTCTGTCCCGCACCGGCATTCCTGAGCCAGCAGAAAACAAAGGGCTTTTCTCTCCTCATATTTCATTATCCAGAGTCCTCTCTTTATGTCTTCCACCACAATAATGAGCGCATCTGGCTTCTCATGGCAGAAGTGTTTCCTTTTCTGTTCTTTTCTGGTCAAACTCTGTCAGCGTTCCCCCAGATAAGGATTATAAGTATCTTGTGTTCTTTCCTCCCTGTTCTCTTGGCATATGTCTCCAACATATTACAGCCTCTTGATTGTCTTCCCTCTCTAGAATGAAGCAGGCAAACTATCAAATATACCAACTGTCATCTGAGTAATAATACAAATAGAACAGGATTCACTATCAAGGGGTGGATTTGGAAAAACTTTTTTTTTTTTTTTGGGGGGGGGTCTCTCCGTCCTTGGCCTTGTCAAGTACCAGCCTGTCTTGTCCTGGAAATAGGGGCCTGATTCTTTTCATTCTTATTGCCTCATAACTAACGCTGCAGCTTTGAACAGTGCTCCTGCAAACCGTGATATCTCCATCCTGTAGAACTGAATTTGTGATAATAAGGCGATTGGTTAATGTAATTGACTAGACTCCATTGAGCAAGCAAAACGATGAGAGGGTGAAGAGGAAAGGATCATTAGTAGTGTGAGCAGTTCCACCCACCATTCCCTTAATGCTGCCCAGTGAGCGCATGTCCTGGGGAGAAAATGTTGGGGAGACATGAATCTCATCTCCTTCCAGTTGGTCTCCGTTCCCAAACACAGTTAACCCCAGTGTTCAGAGATTTGTGTTTTTCTTTCATGTAATGTGGCCCCCGGTGCCTAGCAACTATCTCCCCTGCGGGTCATTTGGACTCCATCTGATTTTCACCCCAACACCAAAATTGAACACACTGTACCTTTCAGTTGCCTGGTTTGCACAGACACTGCTTGCTTTTATTTTGTTTTGACAAGAACAAGAAGCCCGTAGAGCAGAGTGAAGGTTTATCGTGGGAAGGGGTGATAGACTTACTTGCTACAACCAGGTCCCCTTTCTCAGGAACCCAGTTTTTATATCCTCTGAATGAATTTCCTGGAAAAACAGTTTGAGGTCTAAATGATCAAAATGATTAGGATGGTTCTTCTTCCCTGGCTCAACAAATTAGTGCTAATTTTGGAAATCTCCTTGGTTTATTGCCATAATGCAAGGTATATGATGCACTGGGGAGGCTGGGAGCAGCTCCCTCCATGAGCTCCCCTCAGCTGGCCTCATGGCCCTACAGAAGCTCCTTGCCTCCGTGCAGCCTGCCCTTGGGGGTGTCTGCTCTGCGCTTCTGTGGTAAGACTTCTCAGAGTGCTGCTTCTCTCACCCTGTTGCTGCCTATTTGAGAATGTTGAAACCCCATCAGAGAACTCCTTTTTCCCTTCCTCTACTGGAAAACGCTTTTTTTTTCTTGCAGAGATCCACCTCCAGACACAGTTTTCATACCATTGGGAAGGGTGTAAAAGACAGTTCTATCCCATTTTTGTTCCAAGTGAATGTCAGCTTGTGACCCAATCTTTTAAGCTGAAGCAGATGATTATGAACACTCGGGCTGCCATAGCTCCCCCACGGATCACCCTGAGGGCCTCTGGGAGCTTGTCATGAATGGGACACCTTGTTGCTGGGCTCAGTCACCTCAGGGGTCTCCAGGACTTGGTGGCCCTGTGGCGTGCTGGCCTCCCCTAGGATGGCACATAGGTGGTGGCAAGTAGAATGAGAGACTGTGGAGTGCTTTGGAGCGACTTGGGCTTGGCGGAGCAAGTGAAAATTTGTCTTACCAGATCCAGGCAACCATGTGCCATGATGAGGTCACCAAGGCAGTATTTAGCTGCCCCAGAATCTTAGAACCATGGGTATCTTCAAACACATGCTGCACTTAGGACAGTGTAGCCTTGTAGTTTTATGTGAAGTTGTTGCTAAAGGATGGCCGAATATGAGCCTTATTTGGCAAATGAATTTGAGCCATGAAGGCAACATTTCTCATACCTTTACCTACATACCATTGGATATAGGGAAGGAAACACTAAAGGAAACACTAGTTTTACCACTGTGAATGAATTCTCAAACATAGTTTCTGAAAAACAAAATTAGTGCTGTTTTCTGTAATAGGAGATAGTCTTTAACACAGCATAATTTGAGAGCTGAAATGCTTGATTTAGTAACTTTTAAGGTAATTTGTAATATATGAATTGAGAAACAAGTTCATAAATGCATTTCTTATTTTTTTTTAAGATTTTATTTATTTATTTGACAGAATCACAAGTAGGCAGAGAGGCAGGCAGAGAGAGAGAAAGGGAAGCAGGCTCCCTGCTGAGCAGAGAGCCCGATGTGGGACTCGATCCTAGGACCCTGAGATCATGACCTGAGCCAAAGGCAGCGGCTTAACCCACTGAGCCAACCAGGCGCCCCATAAATGCATTCCTTAATGAAATATTTTGAAAGTGCCTACCATAATGTTTAGGAAATAGTAGTCTTTTAGTTAATACGAGTTTCTTTTTGGTTTTCTTCATCTGGAGGGCCTATTTTATTCATGTAGGTTAGAATCTGGCTTGTGCATAGCTCTAGGCAAAATCTCATCAGCCTTTTTAAAAATCAGTCATTTAGCTCTATTTCAGTTTTCTACTCTATCTACTGACTAAAACCTGCTTATGGCCTTTTGTGCCATTTAAATGGGCCCAAAGGAAAGAGAAAGAGTTCTCTGGTATTGCTTTGAGTTGCCAAATTAATTAGCCCTATTGATTGACACCAGAGCTTGTTTTACTAAATAATTTCAAAATATTTTAACTTTATCTTTTTACTTGAGTTCAGATATGATCTTGAGTTCAGCCCTGTCCTGGTCTAGTCTCAGAAAGTGTGTCTAGAAACCTAAAAGATTTCTCTCCATTTCCTTACTGCTTTAAATTCTTCTGAGAATATTTGTATCCACTGTTCTTTTTCAGGAATGGGGCTTATTCACTAAGACCCCATCAAACCTCTTTAAAATCAGTATTTTCCAAAAATGAAATGAACCTTTGGCATCCAGAATTCTGTGTTCATGTATTTCTGATTTGATTGATTTTTTTCCTTGATCCCTGAGATACCCTTAGGTCCAGCTCCCCACTGTGACTGTTGTCGTCACTGAAGCCGTAGAGTTTCTGTGTTCCTTACTTTCACACTCTTAACATCTTCACTTAAAACACTGAGGCCTCAGAGTTTGGATCTGTCTTATTTCGTCAGCTGTCTGTTTGTCCACTCACCCGTTTAGTTGGTTGGCAGGCCCGTGGCACGCAGGGGCTCACAGCTGAATGAGGGCGCTCTAGTTTAATTAGCCTACGACTTCCTACATGTGGAGAGTTGCCCGGATGTCACGTGGCATGGTCCGTCATGATTTGAGTGTGAGAGGAGAATCCAGCAGTGGTTGCCCAGCTGTCTTATTCCTTTTTTGTGGGTGTCAGGAATCCCTGTTGGGCCCCAGGTCCCCCAGTGTCCAGCATGGCCATTTGGTGCTTCCAACCTCCTCTCTGTTTATCAGGCGATGTGTCCTCTCTTCTTACTGCTGCCTGTTCCACTTCCCTACTTCACTTTTATCACTAAGGGGAAAGCTTCCCCATCAGACTGAGCCCAGCCATTAGAGGCTGCCATGACGGTGGGCCAAAAAGGCATGAGGAGTGGTATCTCTGGGCAGAGGCCCGAGTGAGAAATGTCCTCAGGGGGAGATGGAGCTCACGGAAGGGCAAAGGCGTGTGGATTGAGTGGAAGACCTACTGTCTTCCGGGTCTCAGACTGCTGGGCCACACTCTCTCTCTCTGTCCCACAGATACGTTCTGTCTTCCTTACAAAGTTTTCTTTTTTTTTCTAACTAGTGCTTAGAAATCAGGGAATTTCACATGAAACCTAGATTTTCAAATTCTTTT